AGGAGGTTTGTGTTCACGAGTGATGTTGAAGTAAAATTCACCAAACTGTCTCCCCAAAGTGACTTGTAGCTTCAGCAGTTTTGTGCACTTAGTATCCATTATTCATTCAAAACCATGAGATTCCAACAGCCACGTGAAGCACATGACCATCACCATGTGCACTTTTGACAGCTGTTCTTAGGTTCCTAAGTCTAAAAAAAGGGTGGAACAGTGCATCGAGAATATCTGAAGGCGTATTTGTTTACTTTGCCAAATCTCATGATCATTTAGAAAAACAAATACTTTTTGAATAAAAACTCACTGTGAAAGCAAACAGCATCATTTTCTCAAAAGTCCTCTCTTTCAAAGCTAGATCAATCTCAAATTGAAACTCAATTTTGTTTTGCTCATTTCTAAGGGTGAGTATGATGTTATTCATGAAGATTTTGAATTTAATTCCAATTTAAGCATGCAATATTTTATGAAACACTTCATGTCTTTGCTATGCTTGGAAATAAAACTGAGATTTATACAAAGCCCCCCTGTGTCAAACGTTGACCTTTTGGGATAAAAGCGCTTAAGGTTGGCGCTTTTCTTCTTAAAGTAAGTTGAACACAAACAGCTTTTCTCTCATATGGAGGCATCAAAGTCACCCTAATACACAGTACTGCTGAGGGTGTTGCCCTCGGGAAAGCATCTGGGAGCAAACCTTGGCAAGCCATCTATCAGATAATGCTGACTGTCAGCACATCTTGAATTCAACCCATATGAAAATATGTGGCAAGATAAGCCTTCTGCAATCAGCAATAAATTAGAAGAAAATATGCAAGTTCTTTACATTTTTTTTTGTTTTTGATTTTGGCTGCACCCTTTTGCAGGGGTTGCCACAGCAGGCAAACTTGCATGAAGATGGGGCAGTTGTTTTAACAACTGAGGCGGCTGTGGCAGAGTGGTTAGGGGAGTCGTCCTGTAACCGGTTTGTTCCCCATCCTTCTCCGTCATTGAGCTCTTGGGCAAGACACTTCACCTGCTATGAAAGGTGAAAATGAACGCCGAACAACCACGTGAAAGTGTGTCGTCCGGTCGGCTGCCGAGCGACCATACTGAAGCCTTTAGTGTCCTAAAAAAAGTGCTATATAAGTTTAATGTATCATTATTTACACAGAATGCCCTTCCTGATGCAGCCAGGGCTCAAACCTGCAGCCTCAGAACTACAAGACACTGTTGACCATGCTACTGTAGCCCCTGACAGTTTGTTTTTTATTTGTGATAAAAATATTAAGTCCATGACGCCAAGTAGTATACAGGTAACAAAACAGTGCTTTGATTACAATTATTTTCATTATTTGTTCATAAATGAGAACCAAAGGAAAGAGCTGCACATCAATGACATTCACTAATGGAGACAGATGTGCTGTCAGGAGGAACAAGGGAAGGTTGAGCTCTTCTTTGTAATACAATTCAACATGGAATTACCCAGAAGAGTAAAAGGAAATGCACTGTCCTTGCTCAATAAACTTGAAACTCTTGCGCTAGACATATTATGATAAATCGGCAAACACGTAAGAAAATCGATACCTTACCACCACATGGCAGCAAATTAAGTGTCGTGTTCCAGAAGAAGTAATTTGTTGCCCTAAGCAGCCAGAAAGTGGATAATTCCTACAACATAAAACTGCTAACGAGCCAAGAAAGACTACATTTACCGCATCTAGACAGACAAGTTCATTTTCATTGCAGCACTGTTATATGACTTATTTGTAACAGATCCATACAATAAAACAATAGTTGTAATTCAAAGCATATGACCTGGTAGAGCTCAGTTTTAAACTATTAAGATATTTTAACAATTTTCTTAGCAGTGTGCATGTAATGATTTAAAGCTTCATGTCCTAATAATGGCCAAAAGGCAGAATAATAGCTGATATTATGGTTTTACACTATCAGGGAAAATGTGTGCAGAGCACTGAGGGATTAGCTGAAATGAAACAGAGACAGTGGGCTTTCTGTTCAGGGAGACTTCTGCCTCCCTGGTTGTAATTTACCTTCTCTAATCAATAGTTTTAAACATGTCGCTAAGACAACATTGGGATGCAAGTGATTTAATTCAGATTTAACAAAGGTTGCAGAAATAACTGTTTCATTATTAAAATGAGTAGTACATAGTATTGGTCTTAACATTTATCAAATTAGGCGTTGTTTTCTGCTCACTTGACACTAGGCAGGACAGTAGAATGTCTTCAGTATGATTTTTTGCAAATGAACAAAGAGTTATGTGCAAAAGTGGGATGGAAATGAATAATTCACAAAGAGCACTCATGACGGTTGGATTATGCACACTTCAAGAAAACAACTGTGTTTGGTAGAACATACGTATCTGGACATGCTTGGGGAACAAAGTCACGGATTGTAAGACATATTACCATATGAATGTGGAGACATTCTTTCATGAGCAGACAGTTGCTCTAACATTCGAGATCCTTCAGATGCAGAGTTAAAGAGCATGGAGCAAAAGCCAGAAAGGAACTAATAACACACAATTCAAATACACAAATGGGGACAGGCAGGGGGTCAGGTCAGGAAGGTCACACAGATGGCTCCGTGTTACCACTTTTAGGATGCAGCAGTAAATACTGAAGCCATTTTAGCTTGGTATGTCACACTTCTCGTTTGCAGCCACAGCACTTTTAGGTAGTTTAGTACTCATTCAACATACTAAGCACAAATTCAAAGTTAATTTGTGTTTTTATTAAAATTTCAAGTCTTTGACATTTGTCAAAGACATATTCTAGGAGTTTTCCTAGAATATAATAAATCTGAGTTTATACGATTTCACGAGTGAGGAAAACTTTTAAACATAATACATAGGTCAAAGGAGTTGGGACAGGGACTAAAAAGATGTAAAAGTAAGTGGTACAAATGAGAAACAGCTGGAGGAGAATTTTATAAGGAATAAGGTTAATTGGCAACAGGTAAATAAGACGACTGGATATAAAGAGCTTTTCAAAGGCTGAATATTTCATAAAATATACTTTTCTTAAATTGTTCCTCAACAGAAAACTTTTTTAGAGAAAGTTTATAACTCTGCACATCATTACTTCTATTCTGAATAAAACCTGATGTAAGTTTATGCCTGTCATGTTCAGATTCATTCATTTTCTGCCCATAAAAACAATACATTTGGATTATTTATTCTTAGATACATTTAAGAATTTTGTGCATGTAAACATGGCTAGTGACCCCCGTAACCAGAGAGGAAAAAGCAGGTTTAAGATAATGAATGGACGGATGAATATCTACAGTATTTGCTAATATCATCTATATAGCAGTTCATATATATTTAAAAGACTTAAAGAATTTAAAGAAACTTCTGAGTAAATAACAAGGCCAAAATTCAATACTGGCTGCATGTGTTCTTCAGGTCTTCAGACAACACTGATTAAACACAATTCATTGACAAATGCTACTGAAAGCTTGATTATACAAAGAAGTATTAGAACTATTGTAACCATAGATACCATGTTATCCACACTAAAAGGAGAGACAGACAATCCTGCCTGTTTTTTAGCACAGTTCAATAACCTGCCTCTTAAATAGTGTAGGGGAGCATTACACCTCTGCAAGGCACTTCTAATGTAGACCAGTACAGATTTAAGAACAAATGCTCCCACCTGACATAAAATTTGAGCAACAAAGTTCCAAGAGGTTTGAACTATAATTCTACACTGGAAATAAAATAGGACAATACCCCGCTTTAAAACCTCCATCAGCTTGTTTTCTCAGATCCTAGATTTTTACAGTTGTTAAAATTTTATACATTTGATGTTATTGCATTTGGTTTTATTTACACTTTACATTACACCCCTTCTCCTGAGTTGGGGATGTGCTGGCCAAGTTTTGTCTGTATTTTATGTGAAAATGACTGGAGGGCTTTGGAAAGAAGAGCTACAACCAAGTTATGCCACAACTACATTTTTATTCAGATCACTTCAGGTCTTTTTTGTCGCTAAACTGCAAAGTAAAGGCTCTTTTTCTCTGTAGAAGTTAACCATTAAATTTTGCTGCTACTCTGAATTTGTAGGGCAAGCGTTTGCTCACTATAAATACAAGCTGCTGACTGAGTAACTGCATCTGTGCCTCCCAGAGGTGAGATGGCATTTTTGTGCAAAAACGAATGTTCTCTTAGCAGAATATACAATAGCAGAAAATGCATATTAGTAAAAAATAAAAATAAAAAATAAATCATTGTTCCTGTCCATTGTGATCAGTTTGAAATATCAGAATAAAAGGAAAAGACAACTGTGTTAAAATAATGTATCTTGTAGCCTTGCCCACAACACATCTCCCTAAAATTGCCAGTTGGTCACAGTAACAGAGAAATGACAGGATTGGAGAGCAGCAACAGTAGACCGTGGCAGTGACGCTGCAACAATCCTGACACCATAAGGTCATTGGAGTGAAGCAAACGCCGCCTTTCCATTGAGTCTCCTGCACTGACTCACATCGTTTCATGAAGGGAGCATCCATCAGAACAGCTGCATTTAGGCTATGTGCGCAATAAAAAAGGAAGGCAATAAGTCCAATTAAAGAGCATCAATCATCAAAATTAACGCACCGAGACACAGAGATAAAATCAGCCGTTAGATTTTCACTGCTGGTTGTTTTGTCAAATTTAAATGTTCTGTATTCATGCAGGCTCTTCATGTCAGGACGTCATGCATGTGTTGACCCTGATGTATCCCCTTCACTCGGGCTCTTACTCCACAGAAAACCACTGGATTTGCTTCTCGCACAACAAACCGTGAGCATCAAATTTATCTCCCCAGGTTTGCCCGCCGGACCGCGCCGCCGCTCTCCGGTGCGCCAGCGTGCAGCCTCCGGTAAACTTGTATGTTTTAAGTGACGCGCTCATGCGTGCACACGCGGCGCTAAGACCACGCAGACTCAACACGGGCTTATTTTCCCCCCCTTTCTCGTGATGATGATTAGGACACAGAACGCTTCTCGCTTCGCATACATACCTGTCTCCGCCAGGATGTGACCGCTGCGGTTCTGACTCGGACATATCCATTGTTTGTCCTTTCACGTACCGGTGTCGCTCATCTCGTATCTCGGAAAACCTGCCGCTTCACCGACGTCTGCGCCTCTACAGACCATGCGTGTTGTTTCCACATCTCTGTGCGGGGCGGAGCTCGCGACCCGTGGAGACGGCTCGCAAGTGGACCAGGAGAATGTCACTTATTTATCCGAGGAGCCAATCAGATGCAGCTCAAATTCTCTTATTCAATTACTGAGTTTCACGTAGTAAGCTGTTTTGTTTGTTTAATGATTAGATCTGTTTTTATAAACACATTTTATTATTCAAATAGCCTACATATTGGCTCAGAGTGTGCAGGTAGGTCTAGCCTACTCACGTACAAATAATCTGCATATACATATAC